CGCTTGTGATGTTTGTGGCTACTTTGTCGATCTGCAGCAGCTGTGGCACAGAATCTGCTCCGCTTTAGCCTACCCCCGTTATTGGTTATTTCCTGTTTCATATTCACATGATTTTTAGGCGTCTTGTATTTTCCTTTGTGTTAATATTAAGGCCATGCGAACAACTGACAACATAATAGACAGAGGTACTAATACTAATACCAAGTGACAAGGTATGCATCGAAGGAGGAGGAAATAGAACTAAGAGGGAGAAGCAATCAATACTGGAGGAGGGATTTGTAAGTAATCCCACTTCTCATTCTCTACTGCACAATGAAACCACAGAGGTGCATTCGACCACAAACGGAGCAGGCAGAGAGGTGACAGGAAGAGAAAGATAGGTGATTATGCTTTCTTTTTGGCTGAGACGGGAGTGTAGGAAAGTAAGAGCCAAGGATGAAAGTTTTAGCGGTAGAACATGTCGGAGCTGAGGGAACAACGGTAGCAGATGTTAGGTATGAAGAGAAAGAGTCACAGTAGGAAGAGGTTGGAAATAACGGATTCATGGAAGCTTTAGATATATACAGTATATAGTAAGAGGGATTTCAATACGAATTTGTCTTGTCACTTTGCTTTCTAGCTCATGGTTGATCACATTGTTATATGTCACTGGTAGTCTCGTCCTCTTTTTCCTCACTACTCTCTCTGCACTCTGATTCATTTGGTATTCTGTAGGCAAAACATTATTCCGATCCAGTAACCAGAGATCCACCTGCATGATTAATTCTAATTTATATAGAAGAGTCATTTCAGCGCATCAATAGCATGATGGGAAAAGCTGTTGAATTGTATCAGAGCAAGGTCTGGTTCATACAACTCTGGCTTGTGCTATGAAAATGGAGCAGGAGAGGAAACCAAAGAGCAGTCGAAAGTCACAATGCCATTGTAAGTTGTTAAGAAATTTCTTTTCCCGATATATTGTGTCAATCATATGAACTCGTTCAATATGGACGATGTAAGACGGTGATGGCTTATATAAAGTTATAATGGCAAGGTGGAAGGATAACTGATAACGACTATTTACAGTTTTCGTTCTTCATAGTATATGAGATTATTATTCGTTGAGGTACGATGTTGAGTCCCTTTCCAAACACCTTAATGTTTCTTACAGCTGTTCACGCAATCTCAATTTATAGTTTGGGCTAATCTATATCAGATTAAACAGATATCAACCAAACAGCAGCTCTTTTCCAGCGAGAGATACAGAAGACAATTATAAGATAATCAAACCAGCAGGGAAGTCCCGCATTCATGGTTCTGAGTAATTCATCGTCTTTGTTACATAATAATCATCCGGTAAACACGTGATTTATTTGACAGATTTTTTTATTTCTTATCAATATTCAACAGGTTACTTCACTTTGTGAAAAAAAGTTCATTTGTACGGATGTTATTATCAGGTATTAAGTATTAAGGCGGCGAGCGAATGTATTTCACGTGACTGATACATCGTGTGATATATTTATGAAACTGATTTATTCCTCAATAGAACGGTGCTATCGATCAAAAGCGCCTAATAGTGATTTAATACAGTTTTTGAATGGACATCAAAGATAGTAAGCATTACATTCATTCATCTAATTAACATAACATTTTACTTCTATAGTCTAGATAACTGTCCATGTAACGGCCGATGGCGATTCTTTGAAGATTAGTTGTGGGAGTCCATGCCGCGCCAGAGTTATTTCAGGCAAGCTATACGTGCAAGCAACTTATCATAATTTGGACCGTGATTCACTCAAATGAACATGTTATATGAAGGTAAGTTTTTATAACTAATATTAATATGATACTGATTTTGATCAATAAATTTAAGGTAAACGATGGTGTTGTATAGCGATAGCTACATTTTGAAAAGAGCAATAAATTGTCAATTACATATTAAAATGTATCTTTAGTCGATGGCAAGATGCTTGACATTATAAAAATGAAATTGTGATACCATAGTACGGCCCGACAACTGTCTCGTTCATATATAACTACCGCACATTACCGATGTCACTATTATATCTAGTACTGATCATTACAGGCTCTCTAAGATTCAACAACTGTCTCATTCATATATAACTATCATACATTACTGATGTCACTATGATATCTTTGCGAGATGCGAATGATATTTTTATGAAGACCCGCTAGCTGAGTGAGAAGATCGTCGACATGTTGCAAAGAGTATGCCATTGTATCGTTACGATATCAACATAATAACCTCGTACCGCGCTCGTTACGACTTCCTTAAGATTCCCGCAACTAGCACGTACCGAGATTGTTTATTATATTGTGATGAGCACGTCAACGTATAGCTGTCTTATCGTTGGGATATAATTGAAAAATACAACTTTCTGCAAAGTAATATTTGTTACCAGAGGGCTTACTGATGACAAGGTCGCAAGTTCCACATTCTTCAATTAGACAATTCTGTACCACACTAATACTAATTCCAAAATGCTTTGTAATACATCAGGAGATACTCCTCTCCGTACTTCATTCCATGACAAAAGATGCCCAAGAACCCAGGAAGGCGAGCACCTAACGGCGTATCACTTAAACGTGAAATTTGTGCGTTTCATAAAGATAACTTGCTATCTACTCAAGTCGAAACTGCAGCCCATTTCAACATCAAGTATAATCTGGATATTGACCGGACGACCGTCAGTAAGATAATAAACGAGGAAGAGAAGCGGCGGTTTATTGAAGGTATATATATCTAACCTGTTTTTGAAGGTTATGTATTTTAGAGCAATATGCGTTATTTATTGCAAGCTTAATTTAACCAAATTAGACGTTGAACTGAATGAAGCTTGGAAACTGAGAGAACGGGGCGAAGTCTATCGCCTACTTTATGATTACGACAATGCGCTAATAACTTTCAATAAATCGTTGGAGATTGAACCAAACCATTCTTGGACGTTGAGTCGAAGGGGAGACGTCAATTACAATCTTGATAGATATGACGAAGCGTTGATGGATTTCAACAGTGCATTGAACATTGAACCAAACCAAATATGGGCTTTGAGCAAAAGAGGTCATCTTCTTTACTGGCTTGGACGGCACGAGGAGGCATTAATTGATCTCAACAAGTCGCTGAAAGCGAAACCCAAGAATATATGTTTATTGAGAACACGCGGAGCTATTTATTCATTACAGAACAAGCATTATGCTGCGGTGAGGAGTTTCAGTAAATCGTTATCCATAGAACCTAATGATGCATGGACGTTAAGCAGAAGGGGAGAGGTTTACTCTGCTCTTAAACATTATCATCATGCTATGACCGATTTCAATAGATCGTTGGATATTGAACCTAACAATGCATTTGCATGGAGCCGAAGAGGAAAACTTCATCATATGCGTCAGCACTATGCGGATGCATTGAATGATTTTAGCAGAGCATTGGAAATTGAACCAGATGATGCAAGCGTATGGAAGAGCAGAGGAGATATTTATTACGCTCTTGGAATATACGAAGACGCATTGCAAGATTTCAACAAATCTTTGGCGCTTGAACCGCAAGACACATTTTCGATAAAGAGGAGAGGAAACATCCATTATTGGCTCAAACGATACGATAATGCTTTGATCGATTTTAACAAATTATTGGAGCTTGAACCCAATGATGCATTGACACTGAGGCAAAGAGGGAACGCCAATCGTATGCTTTGGAAGAATTTCAATGCCCTTGACGATTTCACTAAATCGTTGAATCTAAGTCCAAACGATGTGTGGACGTTAAAGTACAGGGCCAATGTCAATTATAGGATAAAATGGTACAGTTCTGCGCTGCGTGATCTTGATAAATGCCTGTCCATTGAGCCAGCTGATGCTTGGGCGTTGAGATTTAGGGGATCTGTCTATTACCATATTAGGCACTATACTAACGCTTTGAACGATCTCAGTAAATCCTTGGAGTTAAGGCCTGATAATGAAAAAACACTTATAAAACGCGGAGATGTTTACTACGAACTCAAACAATACGACAAAGCATTGATCGATTTCAATAGATCATTGTATCTCAACCCAACTAGCGCATGTGCGTTCTGTAAAAGGGGGAACGTTTATTACGATCTTAAGCAATATGACAAGGCGCTGAAGGATTTTAATGCATCGTTGGAACACCGACCAAATGATCGTCTTGCTAATGGAATGAAGGCTCTAACTATTCATGCACTTGAGCGGAATGAAAGAGCATTGAACGTCCAAAGTGGAGGCGAAGAAACTCGTGAAGTTAAAGCGACCGTAGAGTAGTAATTCGAACGAATTACAAGTGCATTCGATACACGAGTTTCAATTATTATAGCTTACATTTATTTTTGTTTGCGCCTCGACCTTAGCCGCTTTTTAATTTTCAAGTTATACTATTATGTGTTGTATTATTTAGACCGCAAAATGTTTGCCGGAAATTATGCTTTAATTGTTTATTTCGTGTGATAATTTAAGGTAATAAAATATTCATATCGAAGCAAATCACCATAAGCGTCTAATGAATCAGTCATTGCGAAAAGTTGATTTTGTAAATTAAATGTTTGCAGACGTTGTATCAAAAACATGAATAAGTTATCTGTCTGTTAGCTCTCTATAATGTGTGCTTAACTACGAGGTATCAAAAGGCAGCTGAAAAAGGACATCCTGGTGCACAAATTAATCTTGGTTCCTGTTATAAACATGGTATTGGCACAAAGCAAGATGCCAAGAAGGCAGCTGAACAG